AATTCAAAATTTTGTGGCTCAAATGACTCAAATCTGTCAAAACGACGTCGTTTTACATTCATTTACACTCAAAACGATATCGTTTTGCGGGATTTGAGCCATTTGAACCACAAAATTTTGAGCTACCTAGCATTGTTATTTTTTATATTTATATTCAATAACTTTCCAAAATATGAAAAGAGCACATTTTATTGAGCTGTAATAGCATTTATAAATGGGAATTCCAACTGGATTACTTAATCTCGTTCACTCTTTTAAGACCTTTGCTTCTTTCCCTCTTTGTTTTTTGTTTGTATTATTATCTCTACCTACCAAATTTTACGTACCAAAAAGAATATTCAATATAATAGTGAAAATTTAAAATATGTGAATCAAATTTATTCTAATTTATTATTTATAACACACTAAAGTCTCTTTTGGCAATTCAAAAAAAAAGTCACCTCTTTTGAATTTTTTTGTCTTTATTGGTTTTTTTTTTTTCAAAATTATGTCAAAATTTTTTACTTTTCTGGTCTATCTAGTCAAAATGAATCTAAAAAGTACATATTTTTTTTGAAAAATTTCAAAAAAATATCTTTAAAAGCCAAAAAAATTGCTTATTTTTGCTTATTTCTATTTATTTTTTTTGGAATTTTTTAAAAAATTATATTTTTTCTGTTCATCTTGTTGAGCTAAATCTAGAAACCTAAATTTTTTTGAAAATTTTAAAAAAAAATTCACTAGAGATGAAAATAAACAAAAAAATAAATCAAAAAATAGGCAAACCCCAAAACGACCCTAAATTTAAATTTATATCATACATTTAACTTTTAAATATTTTTCTTTCTTTTTTTTTCGCGTACATGACATTTCTCTAATTATCTCACTCTATATTAAAAATTAATATGTGGTAAGATAATAAAAAATAAAAAAAATAGAGAGTTAGAAATGAGTTCTCTCAAGTTCAAATCTGAACTTGAGAGAACTTGATGAGCCCTTGGAGCTTATCACGGTTTTCATTTTGATAATTTAAATAGTTCATTTTATAAATTTCTCAATATATATTATTAATGAAAAAAATCAGGTATGAAAATATTAAAAATCCCAAGATAGTTATTTGCAATTAGGATTCAATTTTAATAATGAATAAAAATCCCTAATCAAATACAAGTAGATCTAATTCAATTAAACGATAATTGAACTATATCTACCAAACAAACATCGACAAATCAACACAATAATATAGCTTGGAAAAAATCACAATTAGAGTACCTCCAATTGTGATAAAATAATGCAGGCCAAAATCACAATACAATCCACTAGGAAAACAAAGGAATTACACACAAGATCTTTCAATTACCTAGCAATTCCATACCCAAATTAAACCGAATTAGATGGGACTTTTACACCACCATCTTCACCTTGGAATTGCTTTGCCCAACATTGAATCCATAACACTGATGTCAAATCCACGGTGATAAGCTACTCTAGAATCCACCAAAAGTTTCAGGCTCAAGTTTTTCAAAATTTACCGATGAACATCTCTCTTTTAATTTGAATCAAACAAAAGAAATCCCTTGATGAATGTCAATATGAAGTTCGTTGATCCATCAGTAACCCTTAAATCATCAATGTAAACAATATATAAACACCCTCTAATAAAACACTTTTACTTCCCTTCTATTTATGAATTCTGGAAGAGTTCAACCCTAAAACGAGCAACCGAGGCACTTTATAATTAACAGGGAGGTGAAGACAGCTCGAGCGCATGAATGACTGCTTGAGCAGTGAGACTAGTAGGCGGTGCAATCAAGCATCCACACTGCACTACACTCGAGTGCAAGATTTACAGCTCAAGCAGTAAAACACAACTCTCAATATCTCTGAAATCATATTGAAATACTAGATGATTCAAATTAGGCCTCGAGCACACAATTGACCACTAGAGCAGTTCAAGAGGTTTGACATGCTCAAAAACTCCTCTGCTCATGCACACATTTCCCTTAGCACAAACTCGTCTTCTCAAGCACAAATTGAGTTGAATTTGCATCTAAACACTCAATATCTCACAGAAACAAAAGAGCAAATACAATTATATTTGAAAGGAATTTTGTCAAACGATATTGTCAATTACAAAATACCTAACAAGGTAGATTTGACAATCATAATCTTTTCATTTTATCGCGTTTATCTCCACACAAAAAGAAAAAGAAAAAGGACAATAATTTGTTGGACAATCTTCACTGTATTTAAAAAGATTAAATTCTGTTGTGTACTAAACAACAACTAGAATATAAAAAAATAAAGGAAAGGAGAGAAAAATGTTTGATTACAAAAATCAAACTAGAAATAGAATTAAATAAATAAAAAAGATTTTATTTTGTTACCAAAACAAAATTAAAATCTGATTTAAATAAATAAAAATAAAATCAGAAAATAAATAAATAACTTACTTGATTAATATCTTGAACATTATTCTGATCAAGACCAGTGTTTGACACTGCGTCCTTAAGACATATTTGTCCTCTCCACGATACTTTCAGAATGTGAACATCTATCTCCCAGGATAAAATGATCAACTACAAACAATAGCAGCACTACAAATTGTTTGCCTAACGAATACACTAAGTGTTTACACTCTTTTCTTACAGAAATTAAATGCAGCAAAATGTAGAGAATTATAGCAGAGATGAAGTACGAAAATTGGAGTGAAATCTAAATGAGGGACTAGTCTATTTATAGATGTATTGGTGGATGTAGGTTTTGAATTAAACAGGTGCAAACCTGTTTAAACAGGTACAGTACCTATTGGGTTTTGAATTAAACAGATTTAAATATGTTGGGTTCAAAATTCAAACAGATAAAAACTGGAAGGGACCTGCTTGGGTGTACAGAAAAATCGGACCAGTTTGTTTCCAGAATTAATTTGAATTCTAGATTTTATTTTTTAAAAAATTAAATTCAATTCAAATATTTTTTACCCAAAAAGATAGGTATTGGGCTGGACAAGCCCAACCCAACCTCACACCACGTACCTGTGCGCCAAGCCCAGGCCTAGCCGACTGGACAAACTACGGCAGCACGCGCGGTGATTTTTGAGTCCAATGGGTTTAGCCCATAACCTCTCTCTCTAAAATACTTGGGTACCCCTTGGGGCACACCCCAAGTTTCAATCACATGCCTTATAAACCCAATCAAAACTTTCCACCAAATCAATGTGGGACAAGCCTTATTCAAACCTTTAAGGATTTTTCACCAAAATTTCATTTCCTTAGAGCATACTTTGGCTTCAATTTTCCATTCACCCGGTAATGATTTTGAGCAACCAAATATACCACATGAATCACAACGCGGCATAGAACGCGTTACCACTTCGACCCGCGAAAATCGATGCTCGGGTCCCACCTAAAAATTAGACCAAAGTTAGTAAAAAATTATGGTTTTACCCAGAATTTTCCAACCATTTCCAACACAATTATGTTTTGAAAATAAATCATCTTTATTTTAGAGACAAATATGATAAAATAAAAATGTTACGATTATCGGATTGACCTACATTTTTAAAAAAAAAAAAATTAAAAAAAATTCAAAATTTGACTTCAATAACAAATCAAACTCTAATTTTTTTTAATCGTTTTAATTTAAGCCTTGAACTTTTAAAATGATATCAATTATAACCACATGTTTGTATCTTTTAGTTATAATTAACGAAGAATGAGCAATTTAGACATTATAACTACCTTTTTTTTTTCTTCCTTCATTACTATTGAAAGTATGAAATCTCGTATTTTGAGATGTTAATATTTTAGTGAGAGATATTAATGTTTTATTTTAGATAATGGTTTGGCAGTGAGATTTTTAGATGAGAACTTAATTCATTTTTTTATATTTATTTTACCTTTTTTCTTTTTTTTTAATCTCCACCTCATTATTCTCATTATTTTATTCATCTCTTTAATTTTCTATTTTTTATTTATTTATTTTACTTGGACTCAAAACAAAATTCACATGGTTGCCATCCTTATATCTATTCATGATTTTTTTCTTCTTCTCTCCATACTCCATGATCCATCAATCTCATCTTTCCTTTTTCTTTTATTTTTTTTATTTTTTATTTTTTTTTCTATTTTAGCTTTCCTTGCCCTCCAAGAATACATGGAGGCTTCTCTCTCTCTCTCTCTCTCTCTCTATATATATATATATAACTTGCAATTTCAAAGTTATTTTTCTTCATTCCATTCTTTCGGTTCATTCTCTCCCTCTATATATATATATGTATTTGTATAAATGCAACGGTAAAACGTGATGTATCCGTGTCGTATCCGTGTCAAATACTAACACTCTTCGGATACTTCTCAACACCTGTCCGACACTCGTAAAAACGTATCATTTTTTTTTTATAGACCCAAACACTCTTCGAACACTTGGAAGACACATGTACCTACCACTTAAATTCGTGTATCTATCGATTAGATATGGGTAAAATTAATTATAAGTTTGAACAAAACAACTTAAAATATATAAATAAGAAATAAAAAGAAAAATTATATAAATTTATAAGAATTATTGTCATATTACTTTTTTTATTATTTTAAAATGACATATTCATATATATGACATATAATAAATATATAAAATTACATTCATACATATCCTGTATTTTTAAAAAATTGACATGTCAACGTATCTATGTCGTGTCACATGTTTGTATCCACACTTCTTAAAATGCCCTTATAGAAAAAATTATAAATTTATTTGTGTATATAATCCTTAACAAAATAAAATGATGAAAAAGATTCATATAATTAATCCTACTATTAATTTGATTTAGTTTATATGCTCTGGTTTTTGTATTTTTTTTTTTTTTTAATTTTCATAAGAACTTGTGCATGGTATGAAAAGAGCCTAAATTGTAGGCCGCAAACGGTGTTTTTTTAACTGCAAACTCAAACTAGGTTTTTTACAATCCCACACTTCTAAGCTCTCTCTCTCTCTCTCTCTCTCTCTCGTGTGATTGTAATTGTATTCTCTCTCTTAGGATCTGTAAAAGTAGTACATAATGTGAAAGGAAAAAAAAAAACCTTAAATTTCAATGTCCTTTTTTTTTTCTTATAATTTTTTAACAGCTCTTTAATGACAACTTATACATAATATGGAAAGAGCCTAGATTCTGAGCTGTAACCGTGCTTTTTAACTCCAATCTCCAACTGGGTATTTTTCAATTTCACTCTCTCTCTCTCTCTCTCTCTCTTGTTTTTTTAGTATTCTCTCTCCCTCTCTCTCTACCATTCTTCTCAGTGAGGAAAATGGGTAGAGCAACTAGGTGGCTGAAGGGCTTGTTTGGGATCAAGAAAGACAAAGAACAAAAGGATAACTCGAACTCCGGCGACCGGAAAGACAGGATGCGGGGGAGTTTCGGCCACTCGGGGAGAGACACCGGCGGATTGTGTCAGAATCCGGCGACCATTCCACCGAACATCACGGCAGCCGAGGCCGCTTGGCTGAGATCTTTCTACAATGACACTGAAAAGGAGCAGAACAAGCACGCAATTGCAGTAGCTGCCGCCACCGCTGCGGCGGCAGATGCGGCGGTCGCCGCCGCTCAGGCAGCCGTAGCGGTGGTTAGACTAACTAGCCACGGCAGAGGTACTATGTTCGGCGGCGGCCAGGAGAAGTGGGCTGCCGTCAAGATTCAGACTGTGTTTCGAGGATATTTGGTAATTTCAACTCACTAGTTTATTTGGTATTGTTTTCATTTTTTATTTGATTTTTATGTTTTTAGAAATAAAATTAAAAAACGTGTTTGTTGAATGAGTAAATTAAATGTGTTCACTAAAATGAAGCAAGTTTTCAAAAAATTGCTGTAAATAATTTCAAAAATCGTTTGCCGAACAAGTTTTTAATGTCAATTTTTATTTTTCTACATCTCAAGATCGGAAAATATAAAATGAAATTATGTTTGGTTGTGTTTTTGTTTTTGTTTTCATTTTATATTTTGGTTTTGGTGTTTTCACAAACACAACCAGTGAAAGTTATCTTTATCATTTTTGTCTGACAAAATTTTTGAAATTTCAAAAATAAACCTTTTGATATTGGTATGTTTTTGTACTTCCTTTATTTTTGCTTTTTGTAGGAGATTTTTTTTTTTTTTTGGATGTTGAAACAATGTTTTTGTTGTTTGAGTAAAACAAAGTTTTGTTCACATTCAGTTGTGTTACAAACACAGGAATCAAAAACAAAATATACATGAATTGATAAGATTTTACAAAATTTATTTTAAGGAAAATGCTATAGACCCCAAACAAATTACTAAATTTTTTACCAAATCTCTCACATGGGTGTGAAATCCACACAAATCAAATGTGTGTGGTTCCCACACCCATGTGAGAGATTTGGTAGAAAATTTGGTAATTTGTTGGGATCCCTAGCATAACTCTTATTTTAAAAACCAATCTTGTACATTTTTAGTTTTTCTGTGTCAAAATTTATGATCGATTTCTGTGTTTTTGGCCTGTGAATCTTGTTTTGTGGGTGTTTTGAACAGGCTAGAAAAGCATTGAAAGCTCTAAAAGGACTAGTGAAATTACAAGCACTTGTGAGAGGCTATTTGGTGAGAAAACAAGCCACTGCAACACTTCATGGTATGGAAGCTCTTATTAGGGCACAAGCCACAGTTCGTGCTCAAAAAACTCTTGGTGGCAATTTCCACTCTCATTTCCGAGCCCGAAAATCGATTGTAAGACCCAAATCTATCAATTTCGTGATCTCACTTGTCCGGTTTTGTTTTCAGAATCTATTTTTTTGAACAAAAAATTTTTAAAAAAATAATAATAATAATTTGAATTTTGAATTTTGAATTTTCAAAATTTGTTTTGGCCCACAAAAAAGAGAATTATATGACAGTATGAGATTTTTTGTTTTTTTTTTTTTCAAATTAGTTTCAAATTTTTTTGAAACAAATTTAGAAAATGGAATGAAAATGGGTAATTATTGTTGGAGATTCATTTCAAATGTTTGTTTGATTTGTGTAGGAAAGGTTTGATGATACAAGAAGTGAGTACATTACAACAATCCATAGTAGAAGGCTCTCCGCTTCTTTTGATACCACAATAAATCCAAATGATGAGAGTCCAAAAATAGTAGAAGTGGACACAGGCCGACCCAAATCAAGATCCCGGCGGACCAACACCTCCTTGTCTGATTTCAGTGACGACCAGTTTGGCCCAACACTCTCCTCACCCCTCCCGTGCCGGTTTCCAGCACGTTTATCGATACCCGATAGCCGGAATTTTCATGATTCCGCCAATTGGGGCCTAACGTGTGATGAGTGTCGGTTCTCCACCGCTCAAAGCACCCCTCGGTTCATCAATTCTAACGGGCCTAATGGGCCTGTTACGCCAGCAAAGAGCATTTGTGGCAGCAGTGTTTTCCGGTATGCCGGTTTTCCGAACTACATGGCGAATACCCAATCATTCAAGGCCAAGTTGAGGTCTCACAGTGCTCCAAAGCAAAGGCCCGACCAAGGGCCCAAGAAGAGGCTTTCATTGAATGAAATGTTGGAGTCAAGAAATAGTCTAAGTGGGGTTAGAATGCAAAGGTCATGTTCACAAGCTCAAGAAGTGATTAATTTCAAGAATGCAGTAATGGGTAAGCTTGAAAGGTCTTCATAGTGGGTCTCACCCCCCTATCTGTCTCATGTCTGTGTCGTATTATGTGAAACTAAATAGTTAAAAATGAAATTATTATATGTAAAGGATGTGGGCAAAATAATAATACTATGTACTAGAAAAAAAATGTCCGAAAACAATGAAGTGAAAAAAGAAAAAAAAAAGAAAAAAAGGGGTGTGGGAGAGCTAGGCAGTGGTTTTTTAGGGCTTGATAGAGCATAATACAATGTGTGTAAAGTTATAGGCAAGATGTGATTAGAGCCTGTTTTCATTTCAGTTTAATGTTGGTTTTTTACCAGTGAAATCTATAATTATTGAATCTTTTTTGCTTTTGGCTAATCATTGTTACTCGATTTGATGAATTTCTTGAATAAATAAGCAAACTCTCCATCTCCCCCAAACAAGGCACTAATAACAAATCAATAATTAAAAAAATATTGTGGTTGATTTCAAATTTCAAACAGGGATATATATGATTGGATCAACAACCTTTTCATATAGTTAGATTTTGCTATGTAATAAAAGGGTTGCAGTTGCTCTATCGACTTAAATCTTGAATTTCTAATTTTCTCATTATCCCAAAGGATAATTACATCAATTATTGGATCAATGGTCATTGTCTATTTATTAAAATTTCTAAGTATTATAAGTTAAGATTAAACATTTGTATTGTTCGCTCTCTTATTTGTTTAATAAGGCTTCGTTTGGGAATAAACTATTTTAATATTTTTTTAATTTTTTATGAAAAATGTATAAAAAATAAAAAAAGTAATGTGATAACTTGTAGTGATTTTTTAATTTTTTTGACTAAAATTAAAGATTGTCAAACAAGATCTAAATATCTGATTATAATATCACGTGTAATAGTACAATAAATGAAAAATCTCTTTTGTATTTTACGATAATGGAAACTACGGGCTAAGTTAGTGGAATATGAAGAATCCGTCCCATGCCATTTACTATGTTTTATTAGTCAATGATATAATTATATCAATGTTTATTCCTTATTTGGATATTTCATCTGATTTGTATAGATCTTATCTACCTTGTGAGACCTATGATCCTGTTTTCTCATAATCATAGAGAAAATAGGATAAGAAGTATAATGAATCGAATAAAAAAAAAAGAAAGTGAGATTATCTTAAGAAATAATTTGTAATTTTTTTAACTTATTTAAAACTTTTAAATACATATTGACAAAAGAGTCTAGTTTCTTTTATTGTAATTATAATTTCTGAGGATAATTTAGATATTTGCCCAACAAAAAAAGTTATTGTATATGTAATGAATGATATTTCAAAATTAAAAAATTCAATAACTTTTAATGTGTATCTTTGTTTTTAATTAAAAAATTTAAAAACTTCTTGTCGAGATCTATTAAAAAAGATACATGATAAAAATTACTGTGATTGTCTTTTAACGAAATTTCACTAGTTTAAAGAAGAGAAATTTCAAATTCAGACCTAAATTACAAAAATGGGGCCAAGCTATAATCAAACCATTGAAATTCCATAGTTTTTGCCCACTGAATTTCACTGTACAAAAAAATAAGGTTACCTTTTGCTAGAGTTTTAGAATTATGATTTGATAATAGAATTGTATTTTGAGTTTGTAAGTTTTGAAATTATGATTTGAGTATGAAAAATTTGTTTGGTTATGAGTTTTTGAAAAGAATTTTGAATTGAGTTTAGAATAATTGATGTGACATATGATATTTGATTCAAAAACTTGCAACTCATAACCAAATACACAACTTAAAATTCTATTCAAAACTAATAAAAAAAATTTAAGAAATAGAAAATATTTTTTATTTAATATATAAAAAATTACAGGTGCCAATTGCCCAAAAAAAAAATACACTGTTTCGGTCAACCGGCCGGACATCCGGGAGGACGACTAGGTAAGCAAAATTTCAAAATTCAAATCCACCTGAAATGAGTTTTCAAAAGTGGTGTGGAATTAATTTTTGAACACTATCCAAACGGAGGGTTTAGGGGAAGGAGTAGAATCATATTTCAAAAGCTTCTCCAAACCTGTTTGATAACTATTTCGTTTTTAGTTTTCAGTTTATATTTACAAAAATTTAAAAAACTGTCATAAAAAATTGTTTGATAATTTTTTTGGTTTATAAATAATTGTCTCAGTTTATAAATTTTACGAAAAAACGTAAACTCAAAAAATGAGTTTACGTTGGTTTTTAAATAGAAATTTAAAAATTTGACAAACAAATTTTTTTTTTCAAATAATTTTTTTTATCAATTAATTTTTTTCCAACTAATTTTTTTCAATTAATTTTTTTTTCAAATAATTTTTTTTTTCAATTATAATTTTTATAATTCCATTGTCATAAATAATAAAAAATAAATATAAATATTTTAGGCCTGAACAAACATATTTTTTAGTTTATGTTTTTAAAATTTTTTAAACATTTTGTTCAAACCAAACATGTTTGTAGTTTATGTTTTTTTAAAAATAAACAAAATCAATTTACACTTAATTCTTTTTATTTATTTTTAATATAAATCATCATCTATTTTTATTAAGGAAAATTAATAATAAAAAAAAGTATTTTACTCATCAACTATAAAATGTATAATCACACTATAAATTGGCGTAAACATAATAGAAAAAATTTCAGGTAGCGTTTGGTATCATTTACATTTTTTGTTTATGTTTACAAAAATTTTATAAATTAATTTTTTTTTATTTTTAAAAAAATATAAATTACCAACAGGTTTGATTTGAACAAAATATTACAAGAGTCAAAAGTCAAAAAACACCGATGAATAGTACTATGAGATGGAGCTGGGCTAACCTCTTCTTAGCTCCAAAAAGTTCCCATTTATAACCAACAGCAACATTGTCAAAGGAATCAATTCATCTGTCTACCCAAATGTGTTTGGTTTGATTTTGGGACATAAATTTTTTTAAAAAAAATTAGAAAAGGAGTTTAGAAATTTTTTTTGATTTGTTTAGTTGTATATTTTAGAAATAATTTTGGAGTATAGAAGTTTGGAATAATTTGATATTTTGTTGTAGTTCAGTAGATGTGCGTGAGAGAAAAAGTGATTGAGAATGAGAGAGGGGAAAAATAACGTGATTAATTGATGTGTAGGAGATAGAAAGGGATTTTGAAAAAAAAAATTTCTAAAATCACTAAATCAAAAAAAAATTTAAAAAAAAATTTCTAAAATTTATTTCTCAAAAACAAACCAAACAAAACCAAGCTGCAAACACAGACCTACCCAAACATCATATTCTAGTACCTCTGCAAAACTTATCTAATATCCATAATGGAGATTTATGTTAGTGTTGATGTGCTGTAAATTTGATTTATTTCATCAAGTTTAGAGTATGAATCAAGGTATTGTTATTTTCTATGAATATTGTTGTTATCATGGATGTGTTATGATAAATATTATCATTTGTTTGATTAATATTCTACGTAAGTTAATATTATTGTCAAATAAAATTAAAATAAAATAAAAAACAAAACATATATACTAATTTGGGGGTTAATAAACATGTTTTTGTTTTCAAATGTTCAAAAAATAATGTGTCAATCAAACATGTTCTCTATTTATTTTTTTTAATAAATAAACAAAACATGATTATAGTTTTCTGTAAACAAAAATTAAAAATTGTAAATTTTACCAAACGGGCCTAAAAAATTCGGTCACAAACACATCCACAATAATTTCACAAAGATAATTTGGTATTGTTTATGGGGAGAAAAGAAATTTTAAAGGTTTTAGAATTTATAAGTGGAAGTTCAAAATAATTGATGGAATGCTAATAGTAACACTCATTCAATAAATCATACATGTATCGCAAACATATTACTTGCATTTAATTAAGTCACAAACACTCTTATCATTTAACAAAAATACACGAATTCCCTTCAAATTTTGCAAAAATATCATACACTTCTTCTATGCGCAACTACTCTACTCTTCTCGCAAATTTGGTAAGAAGTAGAGAATAAAAACTTTATAAAAGATAGTTTTCTAAAAGGTATGTTGTTTCATCTCTATGAAATAGAATAGATATACTGCATCATTTGAGGACTGAGGATGGTTTGGCATCCCTTATATAATTCATCTTTTTATTTTTTTTTATCATATTATTTTTTTATTTTTTGACATATCTTTTCATAAAAAGATAAAAAATATACTTATTTAGATCATCTCAAACAATCCCTCACCATCCAAGTGCTAATCCAACAAGCACCCTTTCCGGAATTTGGTGGTTGGTTTACTGTGCAAAAAACATCTTGCCGCATCAGTTAATTGCTTGGAAAAGGAGCAAAAAAATTTACCCGCCGCAGTGAGTATGTTATATTGTTCTCCAAAACCTATGAAGCATGAATATGAGCACGTCGATAAAATAAAATTTTAAAAAAATAAAGTATATGTATGGTTTCATATGTTTGTAAAAAAATATTTATTTTTAATTTAGAATAATATAAAAAGAAAAATGTTATGAATCTCAAATAAATTACTAAATAGATTACCAAACCTCTTACATGGTTGTGGGACCTATTTACATGTGATTTGTGTGGGTCCAACACTCATCTGAGAGATTTTATAATTTATTTGGGATCCCTAACATAACTCATATAAAAATTAATTGAATGGTTTAATTTGTTAAGATTCAACCTACAATTAACATTTAATTCTAAAAGTAAATGTATAAATCAAAATTAAATATCAATATATTAAATAACTTACAAACCATAGTTTAATTTTAAAAACATACTAAGCATAAAACTAAAAATAAAAAAAATATATAGTGAAAAGAGTTTTATCTCTGTAGTAGAAGAAAATATTGTTTCAATTGAGGTATGGTACGATTTGGGTATATAGTAAGTACGTCTGAGTACGTCAAAAATTAAGAAAAAAAATTTGGATAAATGTTTTGTATACCCGATACATATACAAAAGTACCATACAAGATACCATACACCGATAAATACCAAATACGAATACAACATATTTTTCAAAATACCCATACTTGATAGTCCAAAACCCATATTCTATTTATCCCATTCATGTTAGGTCAAGTAGATACTTGGAGATGAGTTACATTTTTGGTATTTTACCTCTTTGATCTCTCTCTCTCTCTCTCTCTCTCTCTCTCTCTCTCTTTCTCTCTCCCTCTATATATATATATAATATATATTTGTGCAGACTTGAATTTTGGCAATTCCTACCTACCTTCAAGATAGGAACTGCTTCAGAATAGAGTCAGACTAAAATTATTGGAAGAGGGGAAGCCATAGGGACATATTCTATATATAGAAAAGAATATATATTTTCTTTTTTGGGCCAATCAGAAAAATTTTACAAATTCACACTCTTATATGGGCCAAAAATCAGATCAACATACATACCTACAGATTCGCAATGGACCAACCTAAAATGATGGCCCAATAGCTGAGAGACTAATTGAAAATGATAGGGATAATTACACGTAGGTGCCTATGGACTAGGATTATTTATTGAGTAATACTAGAAATATTAAATTTTTTACCAAATGTCTTACATGAGGTGAGTGTGGATTCTATACCCATGTGAGATATTTGGTTATTCATTTGAAAGAAAATTTGAGACCTATAACATTTTTCTTATTTATTCAAAAGTCTAATTTTTTTTTTTTTCACACATTTTCCTCTCATTTGATAATGAAGGTTTTTTTTTTTTTTTTTTTTTTTTTTTTAATTTTTTTAAAATTTATTTTTAGCCTAATAAATTTCTGATTATCTGCAGTTGTAAATATGGAAAATGATAGTAGGCCTGGTTGCGATATTGATGATAATAGCAGCAGCTTAAACATGGAGTGCATCAGTAGCCAAAGTTCGACTACTTTGGGATATGCAACAACGGATTTATCTGGTTCAAGAAGAACAACAAGTGAAACGGCTTTGGAGACTCTGGTCACATTAAGTCCTTCACATGGAGTAATGACCAAGCAACTGGAAAAGCAGATGCAATCGCCAGCCAAGAGATCACTGAAAATAGTTGAGACAAGAAAAAAGTCAAGATCGTTGAGGTTTGGTAGACATGAGGGATACTCGTTTTCTTCTATTTCAGTGTTAAAGAAATCTGAGCCAGGGTTAAGTTTTTTGGGCATTAGAAAGGAAAATATGAAGATGGCGAAGAGTGGGAAGCAGTCAAAACTTGATCCTAAAGAATTGGTCAAACATGACAAGCAAGGCCTGAAGCCTATCTGTGAAAGACTAAGAAGGAACAGATTGAATGGCCATACATACAAAGAACTGCTCAGATCATGGGCAAGGAAGGCTAAGGTGTCCGGTAAAGTTTCCTTTTTATATTCCATTTCTACTTCATCATGTATCAACTTTCATATTTACTGGAAGGTTTTTTGGAATTTGTGCGCACTCTAAAAAAAAAAAAAATTTAATTTAATGCGGACGGGTTGGGCGGGTGCGGTTCAAACCCGCAACCCGCCCGCAACCCGAAATTCATATAAAATCCAAACCGCACCCTACCCTAATGTGTTTGCGAAACCGCCCACATGCGTGCGGTTCGGTTCGGGTAGGGCGGTTTGGGCGGGTCGGATGACCCTATGCCCAGCCCTAAAAAGAATATATATTTTCTTTTTTGGGCCAATCAGCAAACAATTTACAAATTCACACTCTTATATGGGCCAAAAATCAGATCAACATACATACCTACAGATTCGCAATGGACCAACCTAAAATGATGGCCCAATAGCTGAGAGACTAATTGAAAATAATAGGGATAATTACACAAAGGTGTCTATGGACTACGATTATTTATTGAGTAATGCTAGAAATATTAAATTTTTTACCAAATATCTTATATGAGGTGAGTGTAGATTTTATACCATGTGAGATATTTGGTTATTCATTTGATAGAAAATTTGAGACCTATAATATTTTTCTTATGTATTCAAAAGTCTAATTTTTTATTTTTTTTTCACACATTTTCCTCTCATTTGATAATGAAGGTTTTTTTTTTTTTTTTTTTTTCCTTACTTTTTAAGTATGTTTATATAAATGAGTATTAGACAATGTTAAAAGTTCTTTAAAAGTAACTGCAAGCAAAAATAAATTAAATTTTTTGGAGACTTTTCAAAATATATGTGCTGCGTTTGTAGAATGATCATTTAATACTTGAGAAATTTATTAAAGTGATAAATAATTGAGATATTTTAACTTTTGTTTGTGAGTTTTAATTTATTTTTAGTTTATTTGTATTAGTTTTTGTTGAAATATTATGTTGAAAGTGTAATTAGTTGAATTGTAATTTTATTTTGGTCCTTATCATTTTAATTTGAATATTTTGATCCATACACTTTAAATCTAGTTTCTCACATTATTTGATTTCAATTTTCTAAAAATTAAATTTTTTGTTTTTTGTATTTATTTTATTGTTTTTAGTGATTTTTTAAAAATATTTTAAGCAAATTTTTTACTTTTTACATGCACCTAATCTAAATGTATCTAAAAAGTAAAATATTTTATAAAAAAAAAAAAATCAATAAATACACAAGAATACAAAAATGTATCGAATTTTTGTAATTTTTTTTTATATATTCTTGGTAATTAGTGATTTTTTTAATTTTTTCCACAAATATTATATTTTTAAATTGTATTTATATTAAGTGTATGTAAAAAGTTAAAAAAAATTGCTTGAAACAGTAAAAAAATTCACTAAAAACAAAAAAAAAATATATGAAAAATAACAAACTCAATTTCCAAAAAAATGAATTTGGAACCAAACAAATTTGATTTTTTTGTATTTTTGTTAATTTTGCCTACGTATACATGTCAAGTAGAGATTGACAAGTGTCCAAAAATCGTTAAGTTTAACCTCTAACTTAACAAAGTTGAAACTAAACTTAAATATGAGGACTAAATTATTCAATTTGAAACAATAGGTACCAAAATAAAGTTGGAGTCAAACCATAAAGGTGAAAAGTGTAATTAATCCAAAAAGTTAGGTTTCAAATTTTAGATATTGTCTGATATGTCATCAATGTATTAGTATAAAAGATGAAAGGTAGGAACTTATTAAAACTAATGCAAATCTAAAATTTGATAACCAAATTTAATCATTGTAGTATTATTGATGGATTAACAAAATAAAAAGAAAAGGGTGCAAGGTAACATAGAAGCAAAAGAAAAATAAATAAATAAATAAAATGGTTGGTGAAAATAAATAAATAATGTATATTTGACAAATAGATTAGTATTCTAAAATAATATGAGTGAGAAGAAATGAAAATAATTATATTGTATTAAAATTGAATCCATCATAATCTTGACATTGAACATATAGATCGTAGTCCCAAAAAAATGCTTACCAAAGAGATATAATCAATGGATATTTACGGGTCAGTCCCATTGATCGGACTCATTTATCTATAAATCCTATTCATTTTTTCGTTTATCAATATCTCTAAAATACCTTCCCTCACCCATACGACCACTACTACCTTGACACCCTACCACTGACAACTACCGACATCACCTCCTATTGTTGAAGACCAACTATGTCCACTGACCGACCACTTTTGACTGTCAGCAACCATCGTCGATTCCCGTTTCTAATTGCCAACGACCACCACCGACCTCCGACGACCCCTTTGGCCGCTATCTTTGATTGTCGATCACCATTATTGACCTCCAGCAACCTCCAACAATATTTCTGGCCAATTTCAATCTCTAATACATCACCACAACCACCATTTCCATGGATTTAGTGGCAACAAGAGAAAATCAGAAGAAGAATGATGAACAGAATAGAGGAGAGGGATGAGGAGTCCTTACCAGAAGTTATCATCATTCTTCACATTCACAAATCAACACAAAAAATCAAAAATAGGTTCATTAAGCCCAATTCCTACAGTAATGAATACGAGCGCAATTGAAATTCTTGAGTTATACATTTGTGTATTTATAAGACCATTCACTATTTCTTAAAACTCGATCTCTTCCCCATATGAAAGAGAAACCATGAACCAAAATAGAAGAGTTTGCCCCACCTATGAAATATTTCATAGTAGCTTCATTAGGCCATACATCTTTTTTGGTATATCCAGATAATAGGTAAGAGCATAATTTATCACTAACTGTTTGTAAAAAAAATTACAAAAGGCAAATCTAGTCATCACCGTCACAAATCAATACAAAATCAATACAAGAAACAAAGAAATTCAGTGATAAATTTATCACTGATTTATTAAATCTTGATTTTGCAGCAAAGTTGGTTTGAAAGAAATAAAGAGGTAATGAAGGAGATAGAGAGAGACGAGATATGGAGAATCATTGTTGCTTTGAGTCAATTGAAGTTGATTTCACCATGTAAACAACTAGATTGGTGTAGATTTAGAACATGTGAGATCGCCGGAAACATGGTAGATAACGAGGATGATAGAGATTACTAGATTTGCAGCGATGACGATGCATCTGTGATGATGAAGTGTAGATCGGAGATAGTAAAGTGTAGATTAGCGACAATGGAGTGTAGATTGGCGACGGTAAGTGATTGGTGAACAATGGTGGATCGGAGATGGTGGAGTGTAAATCGGTAATGTTGGAGATGGTTGGTGGATGGTGATGGTGGCAGCAGTAGCTGGTAGAGGTGATCGGTGGTAGGTGAATGGCCATGGCAACAGTGGTGGTGTAACGAAAGTGGCAGTGAGACGGTGGTGATTATTTGAAACTCTTTAGAGAAGTGGTGTAGAAAGAAAGAAGAAGAAGAAGAAGAAGGGGAGAGAGAGAAGATGACAACCTAAAAAAATTTTAAAAATTGATAGAATGAGAGAAGATAAGAGAAAAAGAAAAAATTAATAAAGATTAATAAAGGTACTATAGGCATCTTAGGCCTTAATGGTGCATTTAAAAAATTCATTAGAGTTTAAGGCATTTAAGTCCCAAAAGTAGTACTGGTCAGTAATAAATCCTATAAGGAATCTCAGCAACTTTTAAGTCTAAAAACTTCATAAGATCTGGCTATTCATATATATATTTTGTCAAGAACAATAAACCATTGGCATCAAGAGCCACCAAAAAATCCAGCCACCATGATTATTTCATTTTCCCTCACGAAATCTATAATATTCTTTGGAGCTCAAATAGTAGAAAAGTTCAACTGAGAGAGGGCATGATGTAAAATCCAAGAACTTATCACTAACTAGAACTAACTCATTGACCAAACCTCATTATTCATGTATCTCATTAGTAGATTTCATCGCTCAATACTTGGATTTAAATCTCCATAGTCACTCCATAGAATTGAAGAGAAATTTACTCTTCGGCACTCAGAGCATGTGGTAGGACCTTAGTTTCGGCCGCCACATAGGTGCGATGGGATCTCCAGATTGTTGTGTGGTGCCGAGAGACAATATTTCCTAACAAATATGTAGATTAGTTTATCTCCATAACCATTTTTTTTGCCTAAAACCAAAAATAAATAAATAATCCAAAAAATTATGCAGTGCTTTCATTGCTCCCCAACAATTTCAGAAACCACACATTTATACAAGTCTCAGACACATACTGGTGGCCTCACACTGGGGCTGATTGTGCCCCTGGAGTACATATTAAGTCCTCTATTTTTTCTTTTTTATAAACAAAATATAAAAAAAAATTAAAAGACATTCGTCATTTTTATACAAAAATTAATTTTCAATTTTTTTTTTTTATATTTCCTAAAAAGTTAGTTACTTTTTTTAAAAAAAAATTCCCTCAAACAACTTTTGAAAACAATCGCCTAACAAATTCTCTTTGCTTTCTGAAAAAATGAAAAATATATATATTAAAAACACAATTATCCCTAAGTTCCCTGAAGAACAGAGTTTATAAGAGCATTCACAGTGGTTTTTAAAAAAAATTTTAATATTTGATGGATATAAGATATTCCAACGAAACCCAATAAATTACAATCATAGTAGTGAAAATCAGATACAACATAAAATTTTACAAAGAAACTCCCAAAGTGGGAGAGAAAACCCAATTAAACACACGGAGAGTAAGACATACATGCAGGTGGATAGATTCGAACTACTGACACTCACACGCAAATCGATAGATTCGAACTACTAACCTCCTATTGAGGTACAAGAGTTCTAACCAATCGGACTGATCTCATTTGGTTTTATGATGGTTTGTTAGTGGATACTTTTTGTAATATTATTTAATTATTTTATTTTTTTTACATACATGGCAATATCCGCATATTCACTAAGTTCCACTTTTATTAATTTTTATCAGATAACACATAATTTTAATATTTTCATTACAGATTCCTTAAAATATCCTAACATAGCTCTCAAGGAACTACATAGATAGAAGTAACCCTGAAAAGGATGGGCTAACCTCTCCCAACGTGTAGGCTGGACCCTCACCGTTTTGGCCTCTAGTTCATCCACCAGCATCCTGCTTTTAATAACAATACAAAAGAATGGGTCATGTGCACCTAATTGAGGTTAGCAATTTGCAATCAATTCAAGAATAATTATATAAAAAGATTTTAAGGAAAACGATATAGATATGTAGCATTTAATATAAGTATACAATTTGGACATTATCTTCCACTCCCACCACAAAAACAAAAAGTCCACAAGGATTAAGAACCAAAGGTCACAAATCCACTCAATGCCAGGTCCACAAAAAGTAGGGGAAAAACATCAATGAAAATGACGTGAAATTGTCACATACATGAGAAAACCTTCAATAAAACCATCATATTATAATATTACTAACCCGTAATATCATTATTTAATAATAAAATATCAAGTAAGATGGGTAAATTTCACAATACAAATGTAACTATTAGATTTAATGCATCCAGTAACTACCACAGTTACGTAGTGAGGTTCACTCATCCAATTAAATACCTTATCATAAAATAATAATATCATAGGTTAATAATAATGTAATTTCATCGTTATATTAAAATTTTCCAACATAAAGGGTTTGTTCATTGAACAATAGTACAAACTCTGTTTCTCTCTCTCTCTAGTATTCTCAGAAAGGTGTCTCAGAGTTCTTGTTTACTCAACCTCTTCAAAAACCATTTTAGTCACCCAGATTTTCTCTCATAACCCAAAAAAATAAAGTTACAATGATTAAAAAAGCCACCACAGCCTTCATAGCCATAGCCACCTCTCTCTCCTTCCTCTTCCTTTCATCCCCTCCAAAATCCTCCTATCATAACCTACTCCTATCCATATCAGACAATACCTCAATATCACAACACCTCTTCACCCTCACTCGCCGGCCCCATGTCGCCGGCTCCCAAGCAAACGCCGAAGCTGCAGCCTATGTGCTATCCACTCTTACTTCCTGCAACATCCGCACGCACATAGCATCCTTTGATGTGCTCCTCACTTACCCTGTTTCGCGTTCCTTGATGCTAACGAGCCAACCACCAGACCCTCCCATCTCACTTGATCTCCAACAAAAAACCTATGATGGTGATCCATATGCCGACGTAGCTAATGAAGTTCTACCAACCTTTCACGGATATGCAAAATCAGGTACCGTGTCTGGACCGGTAGTTTATGTGAATTATGGGCGCGTGGAAGACTATGCAACATTGAAGGAAATGGGAGTGAATATGTCCGGCACTGTTGCACTAGCAAAATATGGACAGATATTTAGAGGGGACATTGTGGCGAATGCTTATGATGCAGGTGCTGTAGGGGTATTAATCTATACAGATAGGAAGGACTACGGGGGCGGGGGAGGTAGTGCAAAGTGGTTTCCTGATGACAAGTGGATGCCGCCAAGTGGAGTCCAGGTGGGATCAGTGTTTCGTGGGACTGGTGATCCTACCACACCCGGTTGGCCTAGTTCCCGGGCATGCGAGAGGCTATCAGATGATGAGGTGGAACAAAGAGATGATGTTCCACACATCCCTTCATTGCCAGTGTCCTGGGCGAATAGTGATGCAATCATGAGATCTATAGGTGGGCCCATAGCCAGTGATGATTGGCAAGGAGGCATTGATGCACCAGTTTACAGAGTTGGACCAGGACCTGGAATTTTAGAGCTTAGTTATATGGTAAGTGTCCATAGTACTACATGGGCAGGTTAACCATTATCATAGTCAACATAATACCATATCAAACATTTGTGTGGGATATTGTAAGGAACTATTGGTTCGGTCAAGAACCAAGTAATAGGAGTGACCAGAACATGTGCCTAAGCAAATTGGTGAATAGATATTTTGATGGGTTTTTTCAGGGAAAACAAGTTATAAGCACAATTGAGAATGTTATTGGCATTATTGAAGGAGCAGAAGAACCTGACCGGTATGTGGAAATCGCCCTTAACAATTATAAAGATATTCTACTATTCATATCATTGTGATTAGAGAACACTAAGAAAATAATGTGTCCTGTCCGACATTGACATGACATTCATCAGTCACCTATTACACGTTGAATGAAAAATAACTTGGAATCGAACGATAAAATAAAAACAATGTAAACTTATATCTATTTTCCTCTTTTAGAATTTAAAAATATTTCTTTTACTTAAATATTCAATATATATGACATATAATAAATATATAAGATTGTATATTTTGCAAGTGTTCCCACGTGCTGTGTCCTATATTTTTTGAAAATTTCCGTATTGACGGATTTGTGTTGTGTCTGTGTCCGTGTTACCTATTTGTGTCATCTTTTACTTGAATATTCAATATATAAGACATAATAAATAGATAAAATTATATATTTTGTACGTGTCCCCGCATGTCGTGTCTTACATATTTTGAAAATTTTGTGTTGTGTCATTGTCCGTGTTACCTATTTGTGTCCGTTCTTCTTAGGGAGAACATCACTTAGCTCCAATATGCATTCCCCAGAATACTACAAAAGAAAAAAGAGCGAAGCATCAACAAGAAATCATGAACTCATCAATGTGGAACAAAATTAAGTATCAAAGGAACTGACCTTTATAATGATTTTAATCACCGTGTTGCAACTATACATAGATTTGTGATTCTGGGTAACCATCGGGATGCATGGACATTTGGAGCTGTTGATCCTAACAGTGGCACTGCATCCATGCTTGAGGTAATTATGGATCCAATGCATTCCCTTATTGTCTCCTCTTTTTCTTCATTTAAAAAATTCTCATCTTTTAACAAATAACTAGACCTTTACCTGATTTTCATGTGGGATGAAGGTTGCACAAAGGCTAGGTAAGCTGCAGAAAAGAGGCTGGAAACCACGACGAACAATTGTCTTTTGCAATTGGGACGCTGAGGAGTATGGCCTGGTCTCTCTCTCTCTCTCTCTCTCTCTCTCTCTCTCTCTCACACGCGCGCGCGCATCCACACACATCACAAAACAAGTTTGACTAAATTCAAAACGTTTCCCATTTCCAGATAGGATCTACAGAATGGGTTGAAGAAAACAGGGAAATGATAGCTTCAAGAGTAGTTGCTTATTTGAATGTTGATTCTGCAGTAGATGATGCAGGTTTCTACGCCTCTGCAACTCCACAGCTTGATGAACTACTCAAACAAGCCGCCCAACAGGTAACCCCAAAGAATTACCAAAAACAATAGTGACAGTGGCTACAAAAACAAAAAAATACAAACAACAGATGACTTCGCTTATCAGTGGTTCTTGATTTAATTGTTCTTTCACCTAGTTATTTAATTTTCCCACTCATCTTAAAGTTTTTAAAGGAGAATGCATAATGCGAGACATTTTACCCCTCATGAGGCAGCTTAAGCCTCAAGGCATCGAGGCGCAAGCATTTTTAATATTTAGTAAAAAAATACAATGTTTTAACATATTAAAACACTACTAAAAATTAAATATAAAGGTTTAAATGCTTTTCTCCTAAAAGCATCAAACATTTTACTGTAGAGAAGGAAGCTACCCTCCATCGAAGGTGAAATTGACATTTGTAGCTTTAGTTATTGAACTTCTCACTTGAGCCTTAACTGGTTTTTTTTTTTTTCCTTTTTTTTCTTGGTCATTTACTTGATTTTTTCATGGGGTATAGTTACAAGGTCCCTCTTTTTTATGTTCAAGCTCTTCATATGCTTATGCTCAAAAGGCTTATAAAGTGTAGATGAGGCACACATCTCAGACTGTGATGCGCATGTTTGTGCGGAGTATCGCACAAAAATCAAAGCCTCGATGCATTTTTCCTTACAACTCGAGGCAAACCTCAATAAAGCCTTTTAAAACTCAACTTATTCAAATTTGTACTTATCTTGGAAGGTTCAAGACCCAGATAACTCATCACAAACAATCTACGACACCTGGTTTGGCTCTAGCAATAATTCCTTGGTAAGTATTTCAAAGTTTCTTCAACAACAAAAAAGTGAAAAGTAAATTTGGTAGAATGATGTCAAAAAAAATTTAGTTCAGCTAATTTACCTGAACTCCATGTATGAAGATTGGAAGGTTAGGAGGTGGGGGATCAGATTATGCAGCCTTTGTACAACATATTGGTGTTCCCTCAGCTGATATGTCTTTTGGCAAAGGTAACTGAAACATATTTGTTCTGACATTACCTTTCATTTGGAGGCATAATGACCAAAACAACGAATATGAAAAGCAGGAAAACAGAATAAGGCTAAGCTAACCTAAGAAGCATTTTTTTTTATACAATTATCTGTGATATATATAAACAAAAGGAACAATGACCACAATATGCAAATACTTCAAAAGCATCAAAATCCTATAGAATTGGAGTAACTAGAAAAGCATTCTGGCTAGATTTTGAATCTCCCTTGAATGATTATAAGCAATACCATGCAATCACTCTATGCATTTGTAATCATCATAATACTATCTTTCATATAATCTATGCAATATTTATCAAAAAATAATATAATCTAGTGTAAATATCTATATCTATCACAAATCATACATGAGATAAAAATTCAAGATTTATTAATGAAAAAAAAAATTATAGCTATTACTACCAGGGAATGCACATTATTCTCTTCCTATCTCCATAGAAAATGAAACAAGTGCCCAATACCTATTTTGCTTCTAGACTAATCCCAATTAGCATACCAAATTTATTGAAGCCATAATTGTTAGAACATTTAAGCAACCATGCCAAATTTTCCTTTATGGTTCCTAATGTACATCATACATTCTTGAATGGAAAATAAGCAACAATTGTACATACTACAGACATTCTACTAGAACAAATATGACTAACAAAGTACATTCATCATCAACTATAGAAAGAGAAGAAGTTATCTTATAATGAAGTACAAAGTAATAGGAATAGAGGAATAGAATATGGATATTTAACAAGAGGTGGAAAACTCAACCCGAAGCCTATGAACCCATCCAATTAAACCCATTTAAAGCCCCTTTGAACCCGTCCACATCCATAAATGGGTTGCTTCTAGCCAACCCAATTAAAATTGGATTTAAATGGATTGGACATGGGTACCCATTTAAATGGGTACCAGACACATCCTTCACCACTACCACCACCTCCACCACCACTTCCACCACCACCACCCCATCATCGCCACTGCCACTCCACCACAAGATATCTTGTAGATTGAAACTTGAAACAATGACCTGATTGCTTACTATTGTCATCTTGGGACTGGCTATGTAACTTCGAATTCTTAAACTGGAGATGCCTCCAGGTTGGCTGGTACAATTTTGTATGTCTATTTCTTCCACCTGTGAGGTTGAACATCATTCCACCACAATAATATGGTCAACAATGTGAATGTTTTGCATATTATTTTACTTTTGATTGGTTCCCTAAATGTTGTTCCCAGAGTAAGCTAAGCCTTTCCTCAACAAGCCTCCCCAACTACTGGGGTGGTTATAACTTATATGGATCTACCTTCTCTAGTAAATAGATGCAGAGCCACATCCTTGATTTTAATCAAGGTAATCAAGTGCTAACCAAATAAATAAAGTAATCTACAAATGATGCAAACCACAAGAAGAGCAAGAAAAAGCAAAGTTAAATAAGTGGCAAAATTTGGAAATCGCAGTGGTTTCAAGCTACTAGTGTTATTAGAGTCCTATTTTATGATTATTTTAAGTTATCTAGGATTTTTAGTTCAAGGGTAGTTTGGAAATTTCATAATTTTCTGGACATGGGTTATGCAGGTCATCTCATGGGTCAAGTTTAATTTGTTTTTTTATTCATGTGTCTTATTTGGTCTTGAATTGGTTTTGGAAATCAAAATTTTAGTAGTTTCCTATTTTGGAATCCTAGTTGGTTCAAGAAGTCTTTCTATTTAAAATCATGTAATGTTTTTAATTCAATAGAGTTGATATTTCAGAGAATTTTCAGTGTTTTGAAGCCTCTTTTGGGTTTGTGTGATACAACCCTAACCCTGGGTATGATGCCTAAGGCCTCTAAAAGTGATTCTTAAAACTATCTCCTTCTTTCTTCTTTCTTTCTTGAATTTCTGCACTGTTCATGGGTGTTCACAGCCCCAAAAAATCAATCTTTCTTCTTATTACATTAAGCCTTAACCCTAATTCTTCCATACACTAGTAGAAGCTCTAAATTTCCCATTACTTTTCAGATTGAAACCACAATAAAAACACATAGAAATTCAGCATTACAGTTCTCATAGTGTAGTCCTACATCAACAAGCCAAATTAGTTAGGTCTAGAAAATTTATTTCTCCTTATCTGCTTCATCCACATTAAAGCTACAAACAAGCCTTGTGTCCAAAAAACCAAAAAATCCTTTCTAAATAGTCGATACTCCTGAAAGACTCCTTTTATCTGCTTCATCCACATTAAGGCTACTAAATTATACTTAGTACCCCTCCACTTTCAGTAAAATCTCACTTTGGTCCCTCCACTTATAATTATAACAGCCAACCCCCTTACACTTTAAATCAAGCTCCAATCTCATCCTTACGTCCATGTACCGTTAATAAAGTCAATGAAAATTGAAAGTGGAGGGGTTAAAGTGAGATTTTGGTGAAAGTGAGAAGACTAAAGTGAGATTTTAGTAAAAGCGTAAGGGTGCTAATGAGAAAACAAAAATTGTTGCAAATGCATCAAATGACAAGTTCCGTTAATGGTAGACGGATGGAATGATGAGATTGCAACTTGACTTAGAGTGTGAAGGGTTAACTTTTACAATTCAAGGTGAAGGGACTAAAGTGAGATTTTAGTAAACGATTTTAGCAAACGTGCAAAGGTACTAAGAGCAATTAACCCCCCTTTTTTTTATAAGTAAAGATATTATTCAAGAAAGAGAATCAAGACGATGCCAATGAATACAAAAAAAGCCACCCCAACCACCTCCTAATTTATACAGAGTGATCATCCAAGAAATATAAAAAAGAAAACACATCTAGATCCACATTCCTCGAGACTATACAAGACCCCCAGAAATCTAGGTCTAGGTGTGGGTATCGATTAGTGGTGGTGTATTTTTGTTAACATCATCTCGATGCTCTTCTTTTAATAAAATTTTCCTTTTCCTTATCCCAAAAAAAAAAAAACTACAGAGTTTTGTTTTTCCCATGCATATGTAGTTGCCAACGCTTAATAATCATCCCATGTTATTTGCCTGAAGTTGCACCTTATTCATGCTCACTTGTCATAACAGTTCAGGACCTTAGCCATGGTGCTTTTGGACCACTCTATTGTCCCCACTAAAGGTCTAGCCCCTCGTACTCGTCCCAAACAAAGTTAAGACAATCTTTGTGTTATACATCAGTAATAGACTTTTTTGCTTTGTCCTTTCCCACTATCTCTTTGCCCGTAGTTTCTACCTTTCATGTACAAGTCATTAATGTAATTGCAAGGCCTCAAGCAATGCCTCCTCTGTCCATTCTATTTATCTGCCCATTGGCATAACTTCATTCCTTCAAGTTTTAGTTGAAGATGCACCTTGTATCAAGTTTCTATTGAAGATACACCTTATGTACTTTTTTATTTTTTTATTTTTCTGTTCAATGCATCATGCCTATAAATGTTACTCGCATGCCAATCAAACGAACTTCTTGATCTTTATACTCTCAAGGCTGTCACTCATCTAGTGTTCTCCATCAAACAAGAAGCAAACATACTAATATTTCAGCTACCACTCATACCTATCAAATCAAGATTTATTTACCAATGCCAATAACCAAGCTCATGCCACAGGCCTAACATATTCATCCTCTTAGGCAAATAATTGAGGCCCTAGAAGAAAAGAAGTCAGGGTCATTCTTCATGTGCTGTGATCAACACCCCAGTATTTGTCTCAACAACCCAACCTTGTGCAGTCATCGTTATTTCCTAGTGTCAATTCTTGATACTTTCCTAACAAATAGGTATATCCTCCCTAACATGAACACTCATGCCTTGCCATGCAAAATCACTTCCTTCTTAGACATGCTACAATTACAAACCAATTCCTTTCCTAGGATAGGCTACAGTGATATTAGTTGTCATAACCTTGGCCCATTCGATGTTTAGGTGTTTTGTGCCTTGCTAAGCCATGTCGGACCTTAAGTCTTTTGAACAGTGTGAGAAACATGCACAAGTATAAAAGCACCTCTGCTCTCTGAGAATGTAGAGATTTCTAAAAGCAACATTCAACTGTATAACACATAAATGGTGGCAGCCCTCAAAGTCACTCCTGCTCACATTTGACAGATAAGATATAATTCCACTTCAATGGAGGCTGACAATCAAGAGACATGTACCCACATCTTATTTCTAATGACAAACTCTAAAGTTCCTTTGACAAAATAATTAGCTCTACAATAAAAAATCTGAAATTCTGTAACTTAAACCCATCTATATAAATATTGGCCAAGACCGATGAGAATCATTCTATAACTTCAGAAAGCTAAGCACAACACTAAACAAATTAGCCCTTCATATTGGCCAAGACTAATAAAAACCATCCTAATTCCTAACTTACATGCATGTAAAAGTCAAAACTGCTCGTCATTGTTGTGAGGAACCACCACTTACACAAGTCTCATTAGCTTCAGCGGCCTCATATTGTATACTTGATTCCTCAATAGACTGAGGATGTTCATTGCCAATTCACATGCTAAAATCATCTTTGCTTCAATGTTTTCATTTTTGGTTGAAGGTAAAGTTGTGAGTCTTCCTTCTCATTGATTTCATAAGCGAGCTTAGTTTTGGTGAGTGCTAGTTTCTGTTGGCATGTAGATGATGTGTAAAGTTTTTTTGCTAAGAACTGTAGACACTTCTAAGAAGGTGTTGTGTCTTTGTCAAACGACGACATTCCCCAACAGAGTGCCATGTCCATGTCAGACATCAGTCGGATACATGTCCAAATGTGTCCTATATTTTTGGAACTGAAAATGTACCAAACACTTGAGGGCACATATGTCCATTGCTTTGACACATATGGAACACATGGTAAGTTTAAAGAAAATAACTTGGACACAAGGCTTAGTTTGGTCTGGTTTGGTTATTGCTGTTCGTGTCATATTATGATTTTTTTTAAATTGCCTTCTCAACGTGCCCATTTCATGTTGTATCCATGTCCTATGTTCATATCCAAGCTTCTTAGGATTTTATCTTTTTGGCATTCTATAGAATTCTTATTATTTATCAAAAAATAATAAGTTTAAAGAGCAAATCCCTTCATAGCACGAGCATCCCCAAACACTTTAATTGGAAAGTTGAACTCATGGGAAAGATTTGCATTTTTTCTAGCATACTCCAAGGATTGCTTGACATAAATTATCTTATCCATTGCAGGTTACCCAGTCTACCACTCAATGTATGACGACTTTATCTGGATGAAGAAATTTGGTGACCCTTTGTTTCATAGGCATGTAGCAGGTTTGTTCAATCGTTTTTGTATGAAAGCTTCTACAAACCTTAAAATCCCCATATGTCAAACTATAGCATCTCATACATTATCTGATCATTGTTTGTGGTGTTTAAAGAACCCATCGTAAGCAAAGAAAATGAAGGTCAAGGCATTTCTAATGTTAGTCAAAAACAAAAAAAACTAAGGTTTACTTACTAATATCAACTACTCTTATTTTTCGTTATGCATGTTCTTCTGATAGAATTAGAGATTAACCAAAGGACCAAAATATAATATATCTTACAGTGGCAAGCATTTGGGGTTTAGTAGCTCTCCGACTTGCAGATGAGGAATTTTTGCCTTTTGATTATCTCTCCTATGCACATGAGCTCCAGGTATGTCCGCGAAACTCAGACACAATCACTATGCTTACATCCTAGCATTATACATTCATATTTGGTATCAAATTGTAATCAGGGAAGTGCAGAAGAGTTAAAAGGTGAGGTATCGAATAAGGGCATTAACGTTATTCCCTTGTTCAAGTCTATTGAGGAGCTCAGAAAGGCAGCCACCAAAATAAATAACCAGAGAAAGGTACCCATTGCAATTCACTTGACTGAGACCTCCACAAAATTATATTCTTTCCAGATGAAATACTAGGCATGAAATTTCTCAGGCAATGAAAGAAAACAACGGTTGGGCAATGATGTGGAAAAAGGACACTTGGAAAGTGAGAGAGTTGAATGACAGATTAATGATGGCAGAGCGAGCATTCACAGATAGAGAAGGAATCTCTGGAAGGCCATGGCACAAGCATTTGGTATGTTCTCATTGATATTCATATGATTGTTCTTTCGTCCTACTTGTTATCTAAAAACCATTGTCTGAATGAGTGACACATTGCGGATTACACAATTATATTACTCTAGTTGTACAAGTGCAGCAAATCTAATTACTACTCTTCCTTTCTCAGATTTATGCGCCATCAAACCACAATGATTATGGATCTAAATCCTTCCCTGGGATTGATGATGCAATTGAAGACGCCAAGAGTCTTAACACAACAGAGTCCTGGCGTTTAGTACAACATGAAGTTTGGAGAGTTTCTAGAGTTATAACACATGCATCACTAGTCCTCAATGGTGAATTGACGTGAACATGGCAATGTATCAACCTACATGTTCGTTCATATATTTCAAGTTAAGGTTTAAAGACCCAAATTGCTTATATGTTCCACAAATTCTAATAATACTATAGCTTTTCTAGTAAGTTTTTCTCCAGAACATTGATATGCCCCAGACCCTAAGACAAAATTGTCAAACAATTTACTGACAGCAAAGGGAAGTTCCAAGCAAATTGTCAAGCATGGACCAGATCTGAACTTCCTTGGATTGATCCAGAACCCTGATTGTTGGTCACAAATTAAATAAGTCGAAGGGTACAACCAATATGAAGAAGTGACATTGTACAGAGTAACAAGTTTGACAAGTAAGGTGAACCAATGGATTTTTGAGAAAGGTGATGAAGTGAAGGATTGATTTTACACTGTATTGGAAGTTTAAATAACCTTTTTTTCTTTAGGTAAAAATCACACATACCTTGGACATATGATAAAAATACACAAACACCTCTGACATTTCTAATATATTACTCATTGACATTTGGAAATCATATCAGCCACAACTCTATTGGCCATCATCGTTAATTTTCCAATGAAATACTGCTATTATAGAGTCTTGAACTCGTGGGAGAAATTATAAAAAAAAAAAAAAACAAGACTTATTTGTTGTCCAAATTAAAAGTTGATAGGACTTTATGGTAATTTGGAGGGAAAAGTGATCCATATTGGTAACTTTCCCAGCCTATGTATTAAAAATTTGCTTTTTTAGGCTAATTCTCAATTGGGGGGTCGCATTATAGATTTGTGTGATGTAACAAATCTTAATGGTCACACCCTAGGTGATCTTGTGCGTTTCCAAACACATTCGTTCCATTTTTAGACCTCAAACATTATGAACTTATGTAGTAAGAATTTGCATTTTTAGGTTAATTCCCAATTGGGTAGTTGAGTTCTAGATTTGTGTGATGTAACAAGTCACAATGGTCACACCCTAGGCAATCGTCTGCGTTTCTAAACACGTTCATGCCATTTTTGGACCTCAAACTTTACAAGCCTAAGTATTAAGATTTTGCATTTTTAGGATAATTCTCAATTGAGGGGTCAAGTTCCAGATTTGTGTAATGTAACAGGTCACAATGGTCACACCTAGGTGATCGTGTACATTTTCGGACACGTTTGTTCCATATTTTGACCTTAAACATTACAAGCCAATGTACTAAAAATTACCATTTTTATGCTAATTTTTAATTGGGTGGTCGCATTCTAGATTTGTGTGATGGAACAATTCAAAATGGTTTGGGTGGCGGTAACCACCCATATGCTCATGTAACGGTGTTACGTAACAGTTGTGTTGTGACCCATTTTTAAATCATGTTATGAAGTTTTGAACTAATTTGGGAGAACTAATAAAAAAGTAGGACTTAGTTATCCAAATTGAAAATTGATAGGTCTTTATCGTAAGGGAAAGTGATCCTTAATGGTAATTTTCCCTTACACACACATATACACTGTGGAAGAACAAATAGCTCATTGGCATCAATAGCCACCAAAAACGTAATTTCCAAGGAACACAGCACATTAAGAAACACCCCAGCCAGCACAGTTATTTATTTCATTTTCGCTCAACATTCCTCAAAGCTCAAAACTAGTAAAAAAGTTCAATTAAGAGAAAGAAGAGGGCATGATGTATAATCCAAGAAGTTATGACCAACTGGGATTAGACCCAGAACTAATGTACCTCACTAAGAGATTACAAGTTTGACTCCTACCTTTCCAATGAAGCATGGGCACGCTGGGATAAGCTAAGGAGACGTTGGGGACACGCCGAGGACACGTTGAGGACACACAGAGGACCATTTTTTTCAAAAAAATTAAATTTTTAATTTTTTTACTAAAATAACATACTTAAGATTGATAAATTTGATAAAATTTAATATTTGAAATAAAATAAATATTAAATATTTAAAAATATGAAATATAATAAATATATAAAATTATACTCCCTCTATCTCAAAATAATAGTCCCTTTTGAATAATCTAACTTTTTTTTATAGTACAATTATTGCACTATAAAAAAATTGATTTTCCAATTACCCTTTGATAGTACATTTTTTGAGAAATATCAATTGTCATAATTGTACTTTTTGTGTTAATAAATTTAAAAGAAGGACAAAATAGGAAATTCACATTATTTTAGTTCTTAATTTTTGAAAAGTGACTAATATTTTGAGGCAATGAAAAATGGAATAAGGGACTAATATTTTGAGACGGAGGAAATATATTTTGCACGTATCCCCAACGTGTCGTATCCAGTATTTTTTTTAAATTTGCGTGTCCGCAAACCCGTGTTCATGTCTTGTCAGGTGTCTGTATCCGTGTTCGCGTCCATTCTTCTTAGTTCCTTTCCATCCAATGTTCCTAAACAAAATAATTTAAAAAGTTATCCGGTGCTTTCGTCGCCACAACTGACCCCACACTAAGGTGCCTAAAGAGCAAATAATAAGTTTCCATTTTCTTCATTTTTATTTTTTATTTTTCACGTTTTCAAAACAAAAACAATAATAAGTTTGAAAACAAGTGTCAATGTCATATTATTTTCATTTTTGTGAAGAAAAAAAAAATCAAAAGTTTGAAGACAACTTTTGAATATTTCCTAGCCAAAACATTTTTTTGGAAACAATTCACTAAACAAAATTTTTGCGCTTTGTGAAAGATAAAAACAAAAAAGAAAACACAACCATTCTGAATTTTCCCCCAATTCCCTGGAGAATAGAGTCCATAGAGATATACTGACATAGCTCAAGGAACTACATAAAAGAAAACCTGTAAAGGATGGACTAACCTCACAACCTGTAGGCTAAAACCACACCCACTATTTTGGTCTCTATTAAATCCCGCAGCATCCTGGCATTTAATAACAATCCCCGAGAAAAAGGCATGTGCACCTAATTGGGGTTGGCATCAACAATCATCCAAGAATAACTCTATAAAAACATTTAAAAGAAAATGATACGTTATTTGGGATATTCTAAATAAGTGTACTTTTTGACTTTTTATGAAATATGGGTTGGGTTTGAATTGATGTGGTAGAGAAGTGATGTGACTTAAATAAGATGATGTGACTTAAATAGGATAGTGGCTTTTTAACTTTTTGACTTTTTTAAAGTATGCCAAACCTAGCCTTAATACAAATATATGTATATATCATTTGGTCATATCTTCCTCTAAAAAAACAAAAGGGTCCAATAAGGATTAAGTTAAGAACCAAAGGTCATAAATCCCCTTAATGACAGGTCCACAAAAGGTAGAAAAAATGAAAGACATTACCTAAATTGTCACATACTACCTCCACTCATAGTATCATACAGAAAAGTATTATACATAATGTGTTTGATTGGGGGGATTAGGAGGGGACTATTTACTATTCGGATTGCTTATCCGAAGGAGTGAGTAGTCCATTGTTTGTTTTTTTTTTAGTCCGTCGGACATGGAGTCTGGCCGGACTCTTTATCCCCCATATGGGGGATTATACTATCCTGGGGGGTTGTGAGACAATTTTGGGGGACAATTTACTGTTGGGATTAGGAGGTAAAATGTTATTTTAATTTTTTTTTTATATTTTATTTAATTTCATTATTTAAATTTTAATAGATGTTTCATTTAATTTCATTATTTAATTATTACTATTTTTAGAAACAAATTTATTTAAAATTTTAATTAAAAAATTAACATATATTTTAATTGATATTTTATTTATTTTATTTTTCAAAAATAAATTTATTTAATTGTGTAAAAAATAAAATAAAATAAATTTTTATTTAATCTAGCTAAAAATAATTAAAATATTAAAGATATGTTTAATATTGCTATTACTTAGTAAACAATTGAAAATGGTAAAATAGTCTTTTGTTCATTTATCTCATCCAGTCCGTCGTTTGACTAAAAATAGTCCTTTCCAGACATCTAATTTCATGAAAAAACAAACACAGGATACATATCCAATCCAACCAAATAGTCCGGAGGATTCACAGTCCCAAGACTCAAGTTCGATAGATTCTAATCCTCCCTTATCCAGTCCGTCCAATCAAACACAAAGGGTTCATTCATGGAATCATTATTAGCAAATATTTATTTTTATTTTTTTAATGGCTACAAACTTCTCTCTCAAAATTGGCTACTGAAAGGAGTGTCTTAGAGCTTTAATTGTTTACTCAACCCCCTTAATCATTTTAGTCACCCAGAATTTTTCTCAAAACCAAAAAAAAAAACAAGTTTCAATGATTAAAACAGCCACCCACAACCCATAGCCATTTCTCTCTCCTTCCTCTTCAAAATCCTCCTATCATAATCTACTCCTATCCATATCACACAATCCCTCAATATCATATCTCTTCACCCTCACTCGCTGACCCCAAGCAAATGCCGAAGCTGCAGCCTATGTGCTATCCACTCTCACTTCGTGCGATATCCACTCGCACATAGCATCCTATGAGGAGTTTGTGTTGAAGGAAAGGTGTGCTTGAGTAGAGGAGTTATTAAGTCTGTCAAACTTCTTGGACTGCTCGAGCGGTCAAGTGTGCAAAGAGCGCTAAATTGAATCATCTAGTACCTCAGGCTGATTTTAGAGATATTGGGAGATGAGTTTTACCACTCGAGCAGTAAGCCTTGCACTCGAGCAAAGTGACATATGGAAGCATTGCCTTACTAGTCTCACCACTCGAGCGGTCATTCCTACGCTCGAGCGATATTCGCATCCCTGTTTGTTATAAAGTGCCTCAATTACTCGTTTTAGGGTTTTGTCCAAAATTCTTTATGAGGAGATAAGCCAAAGTGTTCTATATTGGAGGGTGTTTATATATTATTTGCTTGATGAATTAAGGGTGATCAATGGATTGACAAGCTTCATATTGACAATCATCAAGGGGTTTCTTTCGTTTAATTCAAACTCAAAGAAAGATGTTTATCGGTGGATTCCAGAAAACTTGAACCTGAAGTTTTGGTGGATTTCAAAGTGGCTCATCGTCGTGGATTCGATATCGGCGTTATAGATTCAAGTTAAGCAAAGCAATTCTGAAGTAATCATGGTGGTGGAAGAGGCACACTAGATTCGATTCAATTTGGGCATGAATTCGTTAGATAATTAAGGGTTCTCGTATGTAATTTATTTGTCTTCTTAGTGGATTGTTTTGAGACTTTCGCCTGTGATTTTTTATCACAATTAGAAGTGCTCCAATTGTGATTTTTTTTTACGGTATGCCGTGTCGATTTGTCGTCATTTTGTTTGTAGATATAATTCAATTCTTGTTTAATTGGATTAGATCTATGATTCTTAAAATTGAATCCTAATTACAAATCATTATCTCGGGGTTGTTAAGATTTTTCACAAGATTTTGAATTCTCTCAAGTTGGAGAGCTATTCAACTTGAGAGAGCATTTGGTTTTGATGAGCCCATTTTGGGGGCGAACCTTAGTGATTCAAATTGTTCACTTTTTAATTTTCATTGAGTATAATCTTTATGTAAAAATCAAGATGATCGAATATCGGTAACTATATGTTTGAATAACATTTGTTTTACAAAACTGGACTACAAATATAATTTCAAGAATCTATTTATTTTTTGTAATATAAATGTAATTTATATATATAGCTACCGATATTTTGATTTTTTTCATGAATATTCTACTCAACAAATCATAAAAAGTGAACGGTTCGAATTACCGAGGTTGGCTCCAAAATGAGCACACCAAGTCCAAATGTTCTCTCAAATTGAGATAACCAACTTAAAAAAATCTAAACTCTTAGGGGGTGTTTGGCATGCTATTTTAGCACGTTATTTTATTTGGGTCACAATTATTTTATTTAGGTCACATTACTTCTCAACAACATGTAGATAAGATGAGTGTGGCTGAGATGAGGATGCTAAGGTGGATGTGTGGTAAGACTAGACAGGACAGGATTAGGAATGAGTTTATTCGGGAATGGGTAGGAGTAGCACCGATAGAAGATAAGTTAAGAGAGAGTCGTTTGAGATGGTTTGGTCATATTCAACGGAGACCAACAGAGGCAGTAGTGAAGAGATGCGATGCTGTAACGGTAGATGGAAGTGTTAGGGGACGGGGTAGGCCTAGATTAACGTTGACTAGCGTTATAAATAGAGATATGAATCTACTTAATTTGACTAATGAAATGGCCTTTAATAGGGCCGCGTGGAGAAGAAGGATTCATGTAGCCGACCCCATTTGATGGGACTTCAGGCTTGGTTTGGTTTGGTTTGGTTTAGGTCACATTACTTCTCTACCACATCACTCAAATCCAATCCATATTTCACGTTTTTTCGTAAAAAGTAAAAAAATATACTTATTTAGATCTTTCCAAATCCCCCTTAATTCAATACTTAAATTTATATCAAACCGTTTTATAATTTGTTAAACTTTGCATTCAAATTCTCGAACACCACCTAAATTGTGTCATTAAAATTGGGGGGATTGTATAATACATATACACTCTGTGTCAAAAAAGGCTAAATCATATGCAAATTATAATATTTTATAATAGTGTTAATAACATTTTGTGTTGTAATTAAACTAATTTCAATTATAACTAAATTGATTATAATAAATCATAATCAAATAATACTTGAGATATAATTTAAAATATTTATTATCATAATTAAAATAATTACTAAAAGTCATAACTAAAACCATAGGTCTGGACCCATTTTTAAACTTAGACACATATCATATCACATCGCATAATACACTTTTTGTCCATATGTTTGAATTCATTAAGAAATTTATAATTTTCTTGTATCAATTGAAAAAAAAAATTCAAAACAAAAAAACTTAATTTAAAAAAAAAATTGGAATAACCAATCAATATTAGCATTTTTTAAACCAAACTTTCTAGTATACCTTTGTTTTTTTCGAGTCAAAAACAGCTCAAGCTAGTGACAAATGCGAACACTGGATCATTTAAAATATTCACACACTTCCAAAATTTTATATAATTAAATAATTATGATTATTTTAAAATAATAGTAAGTTGTAATAGAAAATCTATTAACTCAAAAAATAAAGAGAGAATTGTTGAAAAGTTCAAGGTAAGGAGGGTATAAGGTATTAGGTCTAGCGAATATGTTTTGATGTTAGACGTCCACTTTTTGTGAAATAGTTTAGTGAGATGTCATTTTATAAGTTTTGGAGGATATTTTGTTTTTAATTTTATCTTTTAATTTATCTATTGTCTATTTTTTATTTGTTGACTTTTCATTGACTATCTGCTCAAATTTATATCTATCTGTTCAAATTTTTTTGACTATCAGTTCAAATTTATATCTATTTGTTTAATTTTTTTTCTCCTTATCTGTCCAAATTTTATTATCTATTCAATTTTTTAACTATCTGTTCAAATATTTTCCTATCTGATCATTTTTTCTGTTCAATTTGTTTCCAATTTTACCTTTTAATTTATCTGTTGACTATTTTTTATTGGTTGACTTTCATTACTATATCTGTTCAAATTTATATCTATTTGTTTACTTTTTTCTCCTTATCTGTCCAAATTTTATTATCTATTCAATTTTTTAACTATGTGTTGAAAATTTTTCTATCTGATCATTTTTTCTGTTCAACTTTTTATTTTTTCTACTATCTGTTCAATTTTTCTTATCTGTTAAAATAACAATTTATTTTTCCCATCTGTTCAAATTCTTCAAGATGATTTTTTTTGTTGGCTTAGTTATTATCTGTTTGATTTTTTTTCTTGAAATAGATTTTATCTGTTCAAAACAAATCTATCCTATGTGTCATTTTTTTAAAATTTGTTGCAATCTGTTTCTTCATCAACAACAACCAGATCTGAAAAAATAAATAAATAAATAAATGAGCGAAGAAAAAAAATAAACAACAACAAACAGATCTAAGGAAAAACAAAAAGAATCTAATCTTCTGATTGAAAAAATAAAAAATAAAAAACCTAGGAAATGGTATATTCTCTCTTTAAAACTCATAGTTTCTCTAAACTTCACTATCTACGCAGATCTGTTGATTTACACAGATCTGGCTTTGGTTTACACAGATCTAAAAAACAAAACAACAAAAAATGAGCAATATCTAGACAATTAATCTGCATACAACAAATCAGAAATGAAGTCACCTTGGATTGATCGACTGTTGATGAGAATGAGGAGAACTCGGACTAGAGTGAAGAGGTTGTAGATCTGAGGAGAGAAGATGTTGTAGATCTTAAGGCCAGTCATCCGAAGTAAGCCGGAGGAGCCGACGACTAGTCAACAACCTCCACCGGTACCGGAACCACACAACCGTTGCTGCATCTGTCGCCGCCAGCGGCGGAAGGACGTACGATGGTCTATTGGTGGTGGTGTGTCGGTAGAAGGAGAAAAGAGAGATGGGGGTTTGGTGCGAGACGGCGACGGCACAAGCGAAGGCGAGACAGTAGAGCTGCAGAACAGAGACGAGAGAGAGAGAGAGAGAGGTGTGGTTTGTATGCAGACCGTATACGGAAGAGGGGTACCTGCTGTAGCGCACAGCAGGATTTGCTGTGCTCCTAAACGGCATCATAATGGTGCGTTTTGTTCGTTTTGTTGTAAGGCCTCGTTTGATTTCGGAGTGAAAATGGAGGGGATTGACCGGGAAGGAATTAAATAAAATTATGTTTGTTTTGATAATAATTATTAGTGTAGGGATTGTTAAATTATTTTTATATAAAATAATAAAATAAATAAAAAAATGTAAAAACATTAAACATTAATATTTTAAAAAAATACTCAATATGTAAAAAAAAATTTAAAAAAAATTCAGAAAAAAATAAAACAAATAAAATAATAGTTTTTACTTAACAAAAAATACAAAAAAATAAATATTAATGTTCAAAAAAAATGTCTGACATGTAAAAAATAAAATCAAAAATTTCTAATCCGCCAGACTATTTTTCTAATGCCAAGTCCTGGAGGCCCATCCAAATCCCCTTGGAAAGCCCCATCCTAATCCAAAACTCACTATCAATCCCTTCCTCATCTCTCAAAACAACCATAATTTTAATGGGTCTCACCTCACTACCAATCTCAATCTCCTCCTCTAACTCTCCAAACAAACGAGACCTAAGGGTTGCAAAGTAACTGTCTACCTAAGAGCATCTCCAATCGTTTACCAAATTTTTCACCAAATTTCAGTTAAAAAAGACTCATTTTCTCATTTGGATACAGACTGCTCCAATGGTGGTCATCAAAACAGGAGTCGACCGGTTGGTCGACCGATAAGGCATATTTTTTTTTTTTTACCTCTTTGAACCTTTTGACCTATTTGAACCAAAATTTTTGTAAGGGAACCGGTGGACCGGTTGGTCAACCGGCTGGTTGACTAGTTGGTCTCCCCAACGGTCACGCACAGTGAAATGGTGAAAGCTACTGCCTGTTCTCACTTTGATAAATTTTTTGGTACCGATTTGGTGTAACCGTTGGAGTACCAAACAGTGATTTTTTTACCAAAATTCAAATTTGATGTCAAGTTTGGTGAACCGTTGGAGATGGTCTAAGGGGCAAGCATTGATTATGCTAGGGAAATGATCCAAACCCCTAGCGCCCCCACACTTTTGTGAGAGAGGGGAGGAGTGAGAGTGAAAAAAAAAAGCGTGATCACAAATTAATTAAGAATTATGGGGATAAAAAATGGTGGAGATTTCAAATATTTTCCACTATGCTGTTAATATTTTTTATTTTTATGTTTTTGTCTTGCTTATTTAATAGGATTGGGTCGATTTATTAGGCGGGTTGGCATTTTAATGTCCAAACCGCTTGTCAGAATTGAAAACATACGCGACTTGGTGCACTTTGATATGATTTTAACAGTATTGTGCACAGTGTTAAATAGGACATATACTTTACTTATAAAAATTATTTTTTTAATATCAAAATAATATAATCAAGTAATATCATTTTGTAATGTAAGATTGTAAGTTTAAATCATATTAAGTGGAGTTAAATATTGTACGGAGAGCAAATATTCAGGCAAGCCCGTACTCCTTTCTTCCAAGCTCCTATCTGTCCGATCGACCTGCGAGCACAACGGCGGTGAGCTACCCGGCGGTGTATGGCCGGAAAACCCCTCCGATGATCAAGTTAACACACACACACAGGGATAGATAGAGAGGAGAGAGTTGAGTGTAAGTGTATATCTCACCAAATGTTCATGTGTCCAGGCATGGGGGCGCACAGACTCGTTTATATACCTTCTGCGCCCCAAATCTACGCCCATTAGTCTCTCGACACGTGGTGCTGCTATCCCATCTATCAGCACAAATCTAGCTGATCATCACCTAACCAAACTGCCAGCCCACACTACTGGAATCTCGACAACCGGGCTGCATCATCTCGGCTGCCAACGGCCATGTCGCACAACAAGCTAGAGCGCTCCGCTCGCCGAGCTCAACGACGACTGAGCTCGGTTGTATTCCAGCATAGCCGAGCTGAAAACTAGTTGAGCTGGTAAACCGAAGACCTTTCCAGCCGGGCTAGAAGCGTGAACCACGGGAACAGGACCGGCTTCCATTATCTCGGCCAAATTACCCAATTAGCTCGGTTCCCACATAAACAAGCCAAGTAGCTTGGTCCTAGCATGGTCCTGGGCCATTACCGAGCACAACCCTATCCGGCTAAGCCCAAGCTACCACGGCCCACAACATGTTTGGCCCATAATCTGCCCGGTCATTACCACGGCCTAATCCAGCTCATAAATTTCTCTCTCAATTGCCCCTTAATTCCGTCCGCGCAAGCGTGACTGGGATTACCTGTTCTGACCGAGGTAACTCTTCCTCGGTCCTCAATTCGCAAGCTGGTGACCGGGCTAGTTGACATGCATGTCTTCAAAACTTGCCCGGTCGACGCCTCGATTTGCCATCCTGTCTCTTCAGTACTGACGCCGCCGTCAATAGGGACACGTGTCGTGCCTGGATTGGCCTCGAACAGCCAACCATCACGTCCCTTCACATTCAAATTTGGGCGGCCTTTTCACCTCTATAAAAATGTTATATCCTCCTTCATTCTCCTCTTTACTGACCTTCCTTCGTCCTCGTCGATCCAGAGCTCCTGTGCCCTTCCTTTCTTGCCATTCCTGAGTTCGTGTCCGAAGGAGAAGCTTCTGCCCTTAACTGGTAAGTCCTTCGGGCCCCTTTTTGCTATTTTCACTTGGTATTTCACATTCTAGGGCACAAAATCCGTAGGTTTTAGGATATAACCCTCACTTGCCCCTATTCTCTTCGCTGTTCTTCAATCCCAGTGATGAACACATGAACACATGAAGATTTGGAGCGGACCGGACTCCAGGTCTTCTTTTGATCCCAAAAAACATTGAGACCGAGCAACTTACAAGTTTGCCAAGACCTTAGTAGAAACCGAGGTAAACAGAGGACTAGGCCGCTCTACCGGGCTAACAACTGATCTGTTTGAGCGACCGAGCTCCTTGGTTTACCTTTGCGTCCGAGGTGGTCTGGCACTCTTCATGATCGAGCTAAAGTCAAGCTCGTTTTGCGCGACCACGCTTCCACTTACACTTGCCATCCTTTTCCTGTAGAGTCCAAGGGGACCACAGACCAAATACCGAGGCTCTCAAAGACCAAGCAGCCATCAAACACCAGTCTGTGCCAAACCACCTCAGCCGAGCTAAACCAGCCGGCGACACATGGGGTGCTACCGCTTCCTTGTTGACACTCTAGCCGCCTTGGCCGTATTCTGGGAAAAGTATGGTATCCGGGCTGACGTTCAATTAGAGCTCGGCGCCTTAGACATCAACCCTTGGGGCAGATTAGACCAATGCCCCTTCACCGTGCTATCCATCATTGAAGGAGGCCTCCGCTTCCCGGTCAACCCATTGATGATCGAGTTCTTGCGTCGCACCGGACTAGCACCCACACAAGTCTCAACAAACACATACCGAATAATCAACGGGATCCTGTAGACGTCCCCGAACGCCTCGGGAGGATGAATCCCGTTCTGTTCGTTTTGGGCTCACTACAGTTCGGACTCTCAAATTGTCGCAATTCTTAATCTGAACCAAAGAGTCCAAATTCGGCAAATCATTTTGGAAAACAGATTTTTAGAAAGAAGTGTCAAACATTGACTACTTTGCCAGATACAGAGTCGCCACCTAAATATTTTTTAATAGGAGAATTTAGGAAACCCTGACTCGTTTGCCTAAGGTCACATGTCCGTCATTACCAAAGCTGTCTCAGCTCGGGAACTTGGGTACGATTGGGGAAGGTCAGCTATGAGCACCCCCTCTCGCCCGATCTGAAGATCGGCCTCTACTAACCATGATATCCAATTTTGAAAACGTTATGTGTTCTTATTTCGGTTAATTAGCTAGAATTACTATGTGATGCGCACAACAAAACAAGTATAGACTAGATCGCCTAATTTGGAACAAAGCATCACATATCCGTTTGTTTGGAAAATGTTTTGAAATTTGCTACTCGCGAGTAGGCTAAAACACGGATTTTGATGAGTTGTTCCAACTCAAGCAATCCAACCTTCACCCACAGGCATTCAGGCAGTTCATATCACATAAGCATCTAGCCATATGGTAAGCATGCTGTCATGTTAACATTCACACTCGTGCGAGATGCTAAAACACAAAATACTTACAGTGTACTCCAAGCCAAAACAAAGAACTCGTTAGCAATCAATGTATGATCCAAGTCCATGTTAAGTGCCTAATGCAACGCATACAGAATGCAATTAGGATAGGCTCGGCTAATCCTAAAATGGCATGTGAAATGCAACCATTTGATGCACATATCCAAGTTAGATTTGAAATACTTATGTAGTTGGCATGATGCACCGAGCCCGGTGCATGCAATGCTGATGAATGATGCACGCATGCATAGCATAAGGTATGCTAAATTAAATATGCCCTAATACTAACCATCAAAGCTAGTAAATAAAAGGGAAGAAAGAGGTGGGGTTGGAAGACATGCACACATGTACCCACACTTATTACAAATACGCCCTCACTCGGGGGGACCGAAAAAATAATACAGTTCGAATAATGAATCAACTATCCTAGCTAATTAATTATTACAGACCCTCTTAATTGATTAACAAATCAATCACAAAAATAATTTAAATGTGAAGCTAAAGAGACTGCCGCAGCTTTGCCTCGGAATGCGCGAATAATGTATGCTTGACTTGTCCCGCTCGGAAACTCGCTACCATGGCACTGTTGCCTCTGCTTACACTGCCCTGCTCCTCTGAAAATTTGTACAAGTCCCAAGGATGCTTCTCTGAACACCGGGGAGCATCACTGACCAAGTGGGAACACCACCGGCCGAAAGGAATGGTCATCGACCATTGGTTGAGCCACCGGCTAATTTTATTTGGTCGGTCGGCACTCCAAGTAGCCGGCCGGCTATTTCTTCCTGCAGAATCCTTCAGATGACTGCAGCAGAGGGCAAGCAGTGTATGGCATGGAATTTTCAAGCAAATGTGAGCATGGCTACACTTCCCATCATGCAA